TATTCCTTCTGATAGCTTTGTTTACCTCTTTGTAATCTACTGTGTTTCTCTTATCTTGTTCCAGTAATGTTTTTCTTTTACTCATAAGATTTTTTGTTTCCTGGGATACATAGTTTTCCTTTTTTATTCTTGTTTGTGCTACCTCTTTTCCCGCCTTTGCTAATGTATCGGTTAATATCTGATTTATTTCATCGATATTTTTGTTTTCCAAATCTCTAGTGACCGGTATACCTTCCTTTATTTTTTGTTTATATTCGTTTTTTGATTGCTTAAGTTTTTCCATATCTAGTTTCGATACATTTTCTATTTTCTTTTTTGTTTCGAATTGGCTATTAATCCTGAGTTTGGCTCTGACAAGTCTATGATCGCTACCGGTTGAGAAGCGGTTCAGTACTGTAACAACTTTGATGATGGTTTTTTCTGTTGTAAGGATGTAATCTATTTCGTTTTTTGTATTACCGTTGGGACTTATCCATGTCCATTTTCTTTGTGGTTTTTTTTTAAAAAACGAGTTCATAGCAAAAAGTTGTCTCTCCTCCAAGTAGTTCATTAATGTGTGTCCTCTATTATTTCTTTCGCCATATCCATACTTTCCAATTCTATGTTCTTCTCCATCTATTCTTCCCCCTAATTTGACCTTATGCAAATGCGGCAAAATATTTGGGTATGACGTAAGATTCCAAGCTACGTTGGAAAGCACATGTTAAGAAAAAAAAGGAGGAATTAGAAATTAAGTTCAGAAAGATGTACTGATTGATGGGAAAAAATCCACTCTGTCTATTTACAACAAATTGCTATTATATAAGCAAGTTCTTAAACCGATATGGACCTACGGAATACAGCTATGGGGCTGTACAAAAGAAAGCAACATCCAACATATACAACGATATCAGAATAAAGTATTAAGGAACATCGTTAACGTTCCATGGTACTTTAGAAACAATGATCTTCATCGAGACCTTCAGATGGATACAGTTATCCAGACAATAAGTAAGTTTGCCGAGAGTCATGACCAAAGGCTCTCCAACCACGTGAATGTCGAGGCAATCAAACTCCTAGACAACGCCAACCAGATAAGGAGACTAAAGAGAACGAAGCCGTTTGATTTAGTGCTATAAGTGAGTGAAAGTGAAAAAGCAGAGTAAAGTGCGGCTAAAGTGTACACGTTAGCTAGTAGTACTATAATGTATTAGAGCCTAAGGAATATTGCTGAATATAACCTTAGATAAGTTTCTTGTAATATTTATATATAGAACTAACTTGCTTATTGATCATAGTGAATGATCAGATAGCAATAATCATAAGATTCCTGTTGGAGTTTTATTAAACAAAAAAAAAATTAAACTAACAAAAATTGTATTTAAAACATCCTGGGTAAGCACCTAAAGATTTTCTGGAATAAATTGGTATAAGGTATACTACATAATGTTAAATATAATAAGCTCTCCGATTACATCACAAAACGCTAAATGGGGCACTAATCTCAGCCCAGGAGTCTAAAGCGGTAAAAAGCATTTCCAGATCTCGACCAAAATTTTATAATTTATATTTTTCCCTTAAAAAGAGTTAAAAAAAAAATGACTAATAAATAATAATAAAATACGAAATCGGCATCCAGAAGCTTGTCACATAGCTCTAGAAAGTCTAGAAGAAATAATAGTAAATAATAGTAAAAAAACTTACTGCAATTTCTTGCATCACTAACTTTCATGAAAGTTTATTGCAAGGTCTTTATGTGCGATTTTACAGTTTGCAACTCGGCTTTAACATTTATTAATCAATTTCGAAATGCCTAGACTATAAAAAAGAGCCAAATATAGAAGGAAAAAAGCAGTAGCAACAACCTTAAGTATTATTATTGCTGCAGTTAGCCTTATAGTTGTTAATTTAGAACGTCTACAACGGATATGGTGGATAAGACTTTGGTTGAACAAAAAGAGGGCTAATATATTTCTAACAGAAGAATTTATCCAAGTAGATAATAAAAACTACTCCAATTTTCGAGGATTGAATGAAGGTTTGCATGAAAACTTGCAGAGAAAATTGCACCGAACCGATTATCGCTCAATTGCAAGAAGTTTCAGGAAATAATCAGACGACATACTGCGCATGCCTTTCTTGCGTCTTGCAGGTATAATTGCAAGATGTAAAATGGACTTAAGAAATCGACTTCCCACAACTGACCACAGAAAGAAGCAAGATACTCTGGAATCTGAAGTTGCTTATTTGAAGAAGCAACTAGTGATTAGTAACAATGAAATAGAAAAGTTAAGAGAACAGCTGTCAATTTTGAAAGAGACTTTAATTGAGGACGAAGAATTATGTATTAAATGAACAATTATAAAAATTCCAAGATGCTTTTAATGAATTACAGGCTCAAAGCCTGTGTCAGCTTAAAGAAAAAGAGAATGTACTCGAAGAAGTAAGTCTCAAGAGGACTTAAATACAATGACTTAAAAGTCATACTAGAATAGCTTTAGCTTAATCATCATCATCAACCTGTATGCATCCACTGCTTAAAGCGTAAACGAGAAACGGGATCACTGGATGTGACAGGGTTAGGAAAATGTGGAAGAAATAGAAAAACAACACCAACAGATGAAACATTTTTACCTCGAAAGAGCAAATTGGACTCAAGCAAAACAAGCCAAAAGCTCCAACAAGATCTAGCAGCTTAAGATGAAGTGATTTATGACTCAATTATTTAAAAAAGACTTTTGGAGAATGGCTGAAGGGCAATACGTCCACAGCAAAAATACCTTCTAACCGAACGAATGAAGAAACAAAGGCAACTGTGAGCCAAAAATACTCTAATTGGAGTCCTATATACAGATGAAACTCACTTTATAGTTCAGGGATAGTGGTCGAGATTTATTAGGAAGTCTGACAATGAAAACCTTACACCTTCTCATATTGATCAAATCGTAAACCGTCCAGAAAAAAAAATGTTTTGGGGACTTTTTTCATACATGGGGGTTGAATTTATGATACCAATCAAAGGAATGATCGCACAGCCAGAAATACAAATCCATATTGGAAAAGCGTTAGGCACAGAACTCCAACAATGTCAGCCCCAAGAAGGAGATATTCTTTATCAGGACTCTCTTCCCTGTCACAAGTTAAAGCAAATAATTTTTGAAATTTTTTAAAAATAAGAAGATTAATTTAGATTGGCTCAGTAGTTCGTCAGACCTCAACTCCATTGAAAATTTATGGGCCATTTGCAAAGTTAGACTTCGCAAAATCGACTATCAAACAAAAATAGATAAAAGTGGTCATTCAGGTTTCGTTTCTAGATAAAGGTATAACTGGAAACTGTCAGATGCTCGTAGAATCTATGCCAAAACATATAAAGCAGTCATTGTCGCCAAAGGTGGACATATTTCGATTTTAATGATGTGAGTGTACCTTTATAGTTTTGACAAAATATAATTTTTTCTAAATAAACTGTTGTTTTCATTAAAATAGCCTATTATTCCATTAATTCGCGCAGTTCTGTGCATCCCCTGTATGTTCCATGTAACTATATTCATTATTCGTATCCCTTAAATTGCTCGTATTTGGTTTAAAATCCTTATCCAAGGCTATGTATCGGTTGTTTCGGCAATGTTTCTTTTAACGAGAGCAGGTCATCGGCATGTTGCTCAATTTTCCTTCTTTATCCAGGCTTAGGACCAATTGTGGTAGTTTGTAAGCTACTCAATCCTTCCACAAACTAACCGTAGGCGAAATTTATATGCAACAACATGACAATGTTTAATGTTTGCGAAAAGAATGTTTACTAAAAATATTCTTGCTTAAATAGGGATGGAATGATTTAAGAAACCCCCATCTCTCCTACTTTTAAGAGACATTTTACTAATATATTTTAGAACGAGTAAATTTCCCAGATACTCTCGAAACTTTTCCAGCCTGCCATCAAATGTTCCTAAGTTATTTTTTGCTAAAAGTATGCTTTAAATTAAAAACCAGTCGAATGAAAACTGTATGAATATCTCTTCTCTGTGATAAAGAAAAAACTTATTCCGCTTTCTTAAGACAGAGGAAATAAAAGAATCGAATGGAACTGGATGGTGGAATATTAAAAATTACAAATGCGTCCCGTCTCGCTCTTAGGTTTTCGGTTTAGAGACTTAATTGAACAAAAGCAAGTTTGGTGTAATGGATGCTTTTGAATTTTAAGGTTTAGCGGGAAAATTTATATTGAGGATGACTGCTCTGGATTTCCTTCGTTCTTTATTTTGCTCTTCTGGTTTGTAGATTTATCGAATTAAATATTCTTAAGTACTCTTTGTTCTCATGAATAAATTCTGCTGCAAAACAGTTTTAAAAAGAGTTTTGGTTTTTTGCGGGCACAGAACTTCCAGATATTTTAATTTTCTTACGATAAGATTTTATGGTAAAATAAAAAGAGCATGAAGTATCGTGGGACGCCCGATAGAAGTGCAGCTGCTTACGGTTTAATATAATTTATTTTCAATGAATAAATGTAATTCGGATACAATTTACTATTTTTACTAAGAATAAGCTACAATTTAGTTTAAAGGGCATATACTAGTTCGCTTTGGCGGATAAATTTTAATACCCTACAAAAAAGGATCACAGGTTAATTCGCTCTGGACATAATATATGTCTTAGAAAAGATAGTTTAAAAGTCTTTCTAAAGCAGGTACTTTTAATACATTTTATTAATACAATGTTTAAGAAATATTTCCCAAACTATGTAGATACCTAAATAAAAAACTACTTGTTACTTAAAATCTTATAATGATTATATTATCTCTAAAGTATTATGATGTTCAAGTTCATGTTCCCTTGTCAAATATTTGATTGTGTATTTTTGTGTAAGAAATTGCAAGTGATATACAGGGTGTTTCAAAAAGGTTTGTCATAAATTAAATCACGCACTCCGGGGATAAAAATAAATTGATATTGAATTGGGATATGAATTTAACTTTGGGTAAGTTGGATCAGATTAAATTATGATTTCAATAAACTATCGGGAATATCTTAGGTGAATGTCAAGCAAATAGTGCAGCAGCCGCAAGGCGTTTTGCAGCAAAATACCCCAATCGAAATACACCCGATATTTCTGGCCATTGATCGTCGTTTTTGGGAAATGGGTACATTTCAACCGCAAGTTGCTGACAATAGTGGTCGTCCAATAATGGATGCAATTGATGAAGACATTTTAGAAATCATTGAAGAAGTCCCTGGAATAAGTACAAGGGTAATAGCTGCTCAACTAAATGTTCCTCACGTAAGGGTTTGGAGGTGTTTGAAGGATCAGCTGCTTAAACCCTATCACTTAACAACAACGGTTCAAGAGTTATTGGTTGAAAATTATCCTAAAAGGATTGGATTTTGCGATTGGTTGTTAATGAAAAACACTCGAAATGTTAATTTTATTAGAAATATTTTGTTTACCGACGAGGCTACCTTCAGTAGAAATGGAATAACATGAGCGCATTTGGGCTGACAAAAATCCTCACGCCAAAAAAAAACGACTCATCACCAAAGGATTTAAGCTTATTCTTACCCTCTAACGTCCTCGCCAAATTTGGTTTCATTTAAAAATACAGCCCTATTGTAACTTTTCAATAAACTATCTAGAAGTCTCTAAAAATTTATTTAACAAATACTTTGATAATAAAATGTTAATGTATGATTTACAAGAATCTACACAAGAAGGCAGAAGAAGCTACACAATTTATGAGTGCAAGGGACATGTTAGTCAACTAGCTATTGAGTTATTTCCTAAATTGTAGTAATATTATATATATCGCTTTCTATAATATGCAAAGCATCTTCAGGTCTCGATACAAAGTTAAATAAATGATGCCGGTACTCTATTAATTAATGGATGGTAGAACATGGTTGAAACTACTATGTATTATTGAATGGAGAACTCAATTCTGCTATTGTAGTTGTTTGACAGTAAACGGAAAGTTCTTGAGGAGATAGATTTGATCCAATGAGTTTTTTATGATGTTTTGTGCTCATTGTGCCCAAGACTGAGATGTAGTGCATAAAAGTCCTTCCCCTTTTAAATTTAATGTTTGTTTCGTCCCTTCTAAGTGTTTTCTGTTTTAGTGTGTTTTAAATTGCCCTTAATTGTTTTAATTCTAATATTTTATTTACTCGACTTTGCAATAATCTACTATTTTGCCAATAGAACTTTATCAAAGAAATTTGATAATTACAAGTTGAAAAATAATTGCACACCCACACAATTTGTACATCTAAACTTATTCATTGTCATAAAACTGTCACCTTCATAAAACAATTACTCAATAAATAACACACATTTTATAAATATATCTCTCGAATAAGTATAAATAACTTTTAAATAATACAATGGTATATAACATCGCTTTCATTTAACAAACAATCACACACATATCTCTGCTTCATTGGATCAAATCGATCTCCTCAAGAACTTCCCGTTTACTGTCAAACAACTACAATAGCAGAATTGAGTTCTCCATTCAACAATACATAGTAGTTTTAACCATGTTCTACCATCCATTAATTAATAGAGTACCGGCATCATTTATTTACCTTTGTATCGAGACCTGAAGATGCTTTGCATATTATAGAAAGCGAAACCGGTCGTCTAGATAGTTAAATTAAATTGATTGTAAGTCTTATTTATTATTTCTTTACCTATTTGAAATGGACTCACACAAGCAACACATTCATGATTTAAATTTTTTGTATTTATAATGTAAAAATAACCATTCAATTGTTTTTTATCAATTTTATAGGAACAGTTGCAAAATACGTTGAACGCTTTTAAACGTCTAGTTACATATGTATACAGATCACGACACGACATTGTTTTATTGACCATTCAACACAATGGGGATGGATGTGACATGTTACACGTTTCCACCTCCATATTTATTTCACAGTAGGTACCAATTGTCGTAATTGTCAACGAAGTTCTGAAAGAATAAACAAATAATTAATAAAATGCCTATTACGTTGTACACTATCCAAGAAAAAGTGCAACATATAACATGGTACTTTCAGGGCCATTCGATACGCGAAATAATTTATTGTTATTGTTATTGTTGAGTTATTTATTGTTGCCTTCGAAAATAGACCCCCACCAAGTGTTACAACAGTTAAAAAACAGTTGTAAAAAGTGTCATGAATGTAATGAACCACGTGTTAGACCTGTCGATGAGGAGCATCAAAACAGAGATATTGATATTTGTGCTTTTGTGAAAGCTAGTGAAACCTGCAATAATGTACAAATTGCTAGAGAAGTTAACGTGAATGCTCGAACTGTTCAGCGAGTTCTCAAAAGGAATGGGTATCACTGTTTGAAAATATCAACCAACACAAGAACTGTTTCCGGATGATAGCTTTAGGTGGAGATTGAGTTTTGCGAATTTATTTTAGATAAAAATAATGAAAATGTACACTTTTTAAAAAATATTTTATTTTCTGACAAATCTTCATTTTCATTACATAAAAAACATAATCCATCCGTTGCAAGGTATTATTCTCGGAAAAATAAGCAGCTCAGTGTTGCAGTGCGAACGCAGCATCCGCAAATGTTTGGACTGGGATATTAGGCGACCATATTGTCGGTCAATTTTTTATCGATGGAAACCTAAACGGGCCCAAATATTTACAACTTTTACGGAATGAGATCATTCCGGCAGTTCGACGCCTTCCCGTTAATTTTCAGGAGGTTTATTTCCAACAGAATAGGTGTTTGGCTCACAACTCTACAGCAACTATTGAATTCCTCCTCAATCAAACGTTTCCTGATCGACTGGTAAGTACACGTGGTACAATTAAATGGCCCGCTAGATCCTGTGACTTAACGATTTCGTTTTTTGGGATTTTTCCAAAGAAAAAATTTATAGGCATCAGTTTGAAAGGGACACAAACCTAGTCGAATTAAGGGCAAAGTATTTCATTTCTCTGCAAGCATTACACCAGCCCCACTCCAAAATATGAGGAGAAATCTATATACCATATTTGGTTACTGTTTAGAGTTTAAAACAAGGAGGTGGAATGCCCTTAATTCATTAATCTGCTTTCCTAATTTTTATTTTTTGTTAGGTACATTTTACGAAGTTTGTAGGTTCTTAATTAGAATTATGCTACTATAATTATAATGAGGTCATATAATGAGGTCAAAGCTTCTCTCAAGGCGTGCCAAAATCCAAATGTACAAAACTATAATACGACCAGCAGTGACATATGGAAGTGAAACATGGACATTGAGAAAGAAAGAAATCAACAAGCTATTAGTATGGGAACGCAAAATCCTGCGAATTATATATGGTCCTTGCAGGGACAGCGTGACAAATGAATGGAGGAGCAGATACAACAATGAAATAGAGACTCTCTTCGGGAAAGGAAACATCGTAAGATACATAAAAGCCAATAGATTAAGATGGGTAGACCACGTGGTACGGAGTGATGACGACAGACGGATTAGCAATGTGTTTTGGGAAAGACCAGATGGTAAAAGATCGACAGGAAGGCCTAGAAAAAGGTGGAAAAGACGCAGTCAGGGAAGACTTGGAGAAGATGGAAGTAAGGCCATAGGAAATAATAGCACAGGATCGGAATCAATGGAAGGCAATAGTAAACCCGGCAAAAACTCACGAAGAGTTGTAAAAGCCAATGATGATGATACTATAATTATAGAATTCTTAATTATTAGAATAAGTTTGAAAGCATTTTATTATTTTTTTATTTAAAAGTACAAACGATTCTTATTCTGATTTCTTTCTTCTTTCTTGTTATATTGTTATAAGCTTTGATCATAAAATTTGTACAATTTTCAGTGACAATAAAGCATATTACTTATTTAATTATTTATTTGTATTGCTATTAAGGCTAAAAAAATAACCAAAAAATTAGTTTTAGAGCATTATAATAAATACACTCTAGAGATGGGATTGCAATAAATCTTAATTCCTATGGTCAACATAACAATATGGTTATCTGTATAAGTTAATGCTGAGTGCTACTGATGCTTTAAACGCGCATTTTCTTAGACTAATAATTTATTTTATACTGTTTATATAGATACTAAGGTTTGTTGAATACGAAAAGTAACTGTATCTGTGACAAAAAAGAATGCTCTTGAGCTCTTAAGGCGGATTTAGTATTTGTGAATGGCAGCGAACGTGTTAAGATTTATTTTGGTTTAAAAATCTTGATGAGGTATTCACTTAATACTCCTGTAATAGTTGTTACTTTTACTATATGGCCAATACAAAGTCATTTATTATTTTTCTTTGTCTTTATCGTTGCGCTAATTCCTTTTAATTTTTTACTTTCTAAGCAACTGTTTTCAAAATTGTTACTAGATTCGGTTGTTTTATAGTTGTCTACGTAAAAAACTTCATAATAATTCAGTTGAATTAACCCCGTATATTTATATTTCGTCCGAACCCATCGCATCGGTTGGAGCCACAAATTGAATAGACTCATTTTATTTGATTACAGGTAAAATTCCGTGAAGGTATGAGAAATCTGTTTGAAAGCCACACACCACACACAAAACAACCTTCTAGTGCTAGAGCATCTTTCGAAAAGGCAGAATAATACACCTTAAAGAGGTTGTGTATATTGTTGGGCTCGATAAATAAATACCTGATTAACTAATTCTGGTCCTTTGAGAGGCATTGGACCGTTTGGTTGTGAGATTCGAGTGTTGAGCAAATAATATGAGACAATATGTATGAAGATGAAGGTTATGTTAGTAAAAGGAAGTTAGGTTGTGATGGGCTTTTGTATTTTTGTTGGTAGCTGGTGAGAACAACTGGTGAGGATTTTAATAAAAAAAAATATTTTTTTACAAGTAAAATTAGAATAGATCAATTTGAAATAGGTCAAGATGAAGGGATATTTGAAACGCAAGAGCTCCTATTAAAAGAATATAGAGTATACCCATTAATGGTCATATTTTAAAATACATTAAAATAACATAAGGTAGGTATACATTTGTTACAATATTGCAGTTGAATTGATTCTTTGCCAATGTTTACATTGTATGTTTGGTGGAAATATTTAAAAATGCCTAGACGTGTGTTAGATGTAGATAGTCTAATTTGTAGTGTACATAAGTATTTTACGGATGAAAAAGAAAATGGCGGTCCTTTAAAATCGGTAATGTCTGTTGAACGACGCGTATGTGATGCTCTAGGAATTAGTGAAATCAAACTAAGATCACCGAAAAACTCGCCTATCATTGAAAACGAAAGGTATTCCAGATGGAAAAAAAATTGAAATTCGTGATACCATTTATCGAATGCGAGCCAACAAAGAACTTGTGACCTTAAATACAATTCTCTCGGAATTAAAAGATAGAAAATTTGACGAAATTGGCAGAACAAGTCTATGGCAAGTGATACATAATTTGGGTTTCAAATTTCAAAAGGAGGATAACAGAAAAGCCCTTTGTGAAAGAAGTTCTGTTGTGCATAA